TTGCATTAATCAGGCCTGGGTGTGGCTACTGAAAGTCAATTCAACTTTCCAAAAAAAGTGATTAATTACAGTTTGGCTTAACAATAAGGGGTAATTACTCTTTCACAGCACTATACCTTTAGCAGCAGCACCCTGTATCACTCTATGTCCCACCACCTGCCAAGCGCCACTAGGAGGATCCCGTTTCTCTCTGATGTTGCCATTAAGTCATAAACTTATAATTATGTAAAAGCATATCACGGTGACAGATCAAACTGATCCTTTCGGAGTTTGGGAAGCGCTTGCTTGAACTAATTAAGCATTAAAACAGCAGTGCCTCAGGTTGCTCATGAATGAACATGTGCAGAATAGGTGTAGTGTCCCTTTAACCTTCCTTCCACACAGCTCACACTCATTCATTTGCAGTTAAGGTAAAAGAGGGCGGTTAAATTAAACTAACAATGATGCGATATGAATGAAAATACCCACAAACCAGGAATTATTATATACTCTCATAATTTTTTGTAGCTAACACCCTGAATGGGAACTGCCTCATGTATAAGAAAGCATGAATGCGTTAGCCGTGCTAGCTCCTTTAGCACCTGATTAGCTTGCTGGCTAGCTTTACAAACAGCAACTGACAGCCTGGAGATAAAACGCTGCTGCTTATGGAGGAAAACTGCGGCCGATCTGTGAGACAAAAGTTGCCGAACAAAACCGCCAACACGCTTCCACTGAAGCGTCACGTTATATAAAATACAGAGCTTTCAAATGCTACTCACGTTGTGATTTCCAGAGGACGATACAGCCGGAAGTTGAAGCCAATGGCACCAACGAAGAAGACGCGGGAGCCCCGCCTTTTTCGTCAATGCAAAATGATGATTGGATGAAGGAGCATGTATCCGCGGACATGATTGACGAAGTCATCTATCAGTCATATGAGGCGTCCTTGACGAATCGCAGGCCGGGCTTCGAGTTGATGTAATGCTCATTCTCAAGCATTATTGGCTAAACAAGGAACGGTCAGCCGTAAGGGGGCGGGGCGCTGACGCCGATTAAGAGAGACCAGGCGGGCGGTTGGTTGGAGTTTTAAGGGCGGTTGTAGTAAAAGGTGAAGAAGAAATACTTTCAAGGTCAAAAGGTAGCCTGAGGATCTCCAAGAAAACAAAAAACATTGTTTTCAAACAACAGGCCTCTGTCCCATTATGGCTACACAACGAGCAGCACCTTTATAGTTTTTAGCTGGAGGCCCAAAACAGTAGATGAACAGTTAGCAAGGTGGAGATAGACGTACACATACAAACCCAGAGTACACAGAGAAAAATGTACTATCATCTTCCACTAGTGAAGTGCAATACCGCAAACTTTGGTATCCAGCACACACCAAGTAAATACAGGGCTGATACCAAGAAGGACACTGATACAAGTTTAACCTATAAAGGTAGCTTGAGTGACCACGAAATCATGATTCATACCTTCTGTAATAATTACTTAAATAAATAAAAATAGATGTTCAGATATTTTTCATAATGTATGTTTGAGGTGTGGCTTTTCCATTTCCCCAAAAATATTTTATTTACCACAATTCACATGCAGATAAAAATGGGTTATATACTGAACTTAGAGGATAGACATAAGGTCTTAATCCCATTGTGCTAATATCAATCAGATACGAGTACCAGCATTAGTGTCAACACTATCGATATTTGTATTGATCCGCCCACCTCTCTCCCCAAAATACAGCATATCACTAGGGTTTGGATAGCTCAGTAGTCATAAAAACTAAATGTTTAAATTCAGTGTCTGACTCATCAGATTGTTAGAGGCCCTAAAAATATCCTGGAAAAACATTTGTGGAATCAGAACTGCCAACAATCCAACAAACTGACATTTCAGATCTTTCTGCTTCTTTTGGCGTCTTCAGAGCACAACATGTTTAGCTTGGTCCCATCAGGTCGCTACAGATGTTCATCTAAAGTATGTGTGAAGTTGTATGGAATCAAAAAGGTGGAGAAATAAACAGCAAACAACAGCAGCCAGTAAAGTTCAGGTCAATTTATTGAGTTTCTTATCAGGCCCTGAATATGCGTTTCCATGTTACAACAATTGAGGACAGAGTTGCTGGAATATACCTTGTGCCTCTTTAATGCATTTTGTAGGCAAAGAAACCCAAAAGCATTTTTTAATAGTAACAATGGAAGAACAACATGTTTTTAAATGTCATCCAATCAAAATTATTTCAGTGAAAACAAAAATGGGTGAAATTATGGGAAAGAGGGAGGAAACATGGAATCTTGTTTTATACCAATTCAAGTCCAATCTAGTCATGGTTTTAGGAAAACAGGGCCAAAAAAAGTACCAGCAAGTACAAGGAAGGAGAACAATTCAACAAAAAGATAATTTAAACCAACATTTATCTGCCAATTTAGATCATAAGCACCCACTTCTACTCATGCGACTTTGTCTTCATCTACTTTTAATTTTACCGCCACTGTTCTGCATCGAAGCTGCAGGGGGACTGCTGCTCAGCTTACAGCAAATCTGCTGAGTGTGTCATTAAAATCTGGCAAAAACCTCCAGCAGCAGTGGTCGAGTCTATTTTAGTGCAGCAAATCCACGGTAGAAATATTAGCGGCATTTAAGCCTTTAACACTAATAGTCCACATTAAGATGTTAACTTTTGTTTTACACCAGCAGGGAAAAAAAAGAAAATTCATTATAGTATCCAAGTCCTCACCCTTTCTCTGATTTTAACTTTGAATATGTTTCTGATAATATCCCTGCCTCCCGCCCCTGTCAGCACTCCATTTAAAGAGTGCCAACACTCACATACAAAGACTTTATGACGACAACAAAAACCAACATTCATGACCACATTCAGCATAACTTCCTCTGTGACAGGTTAAGCCCGACAAAACAACAACATCGACTTAATGCTGTAGTTTCTATCGGTTACGACTCTCCCCCCCTCCCAATTCAAAACATTCGACTGAGTCGAAATGAGGCTGCGCTCGTTACTTTAGAGTGTAAGAATGTTACAACTGACTGCGCAAACAGCAAATATATAGCTAAGAAACAGCTGGCAGATTCATTTCATCTCATCCCTAAAGTAAAAATCCAACCATTTCACAAAGATCTCGGGTGTTCAGCTAAATATCTAATTTTCTGTGTCACAGAGGAGTTTATGGACTGACTGTCAGGGAAGTGAGTAGAAACACAAACCACTGAAGGGAAAAAAAAAAGAAAACAAAAAGAAAATCTCATTAGAAATTATTTTGTGTGTCCACAAACATCAACTTCTGGAGCAAGCGGGAGATGGAAAAAAACAAAAAGGAGAAGGAAAAGGAGAAAAAAAGAAAATAAAAAAAATAATCACATCCCTGACAACTAAACACCCACATCAATACTTAAGACATCGTACTTGACCAACAAAACAGTCTGCACGATAAGCTCGCGTACACGCAGCCTCGAGCTACAACAACAGGTCAGTTTGATTCTTTTAAAATCATGCATGAGTAACAAATTTGGCTCCAAATCAACTGAACCTGTTGGATTTATCCACAGAGATAAAGCTGTTTGGATGAGGCTGCATGTAAACACGATGACTCCTTATCAACTGCACACACACTCTTTAAAACACACATACCCACAAACACACACCCACCCCAGATCAATCAACTCACACGCACGCACGCACGCACACAGATCCCACATCAATCAACTCACATGCACACACACACGCGCACACACAGATTTCCCAGATCAGTCAACACACACTCGCTCATACGACATTCAACTTTTTTGGTTTTGCTTCAATGTAAATCCTGAAAATCTATTTCAAGGAAAACAAAAGGAAACAATACAAGTCTACTTCCTCTTCCACCAATGAAGCAAAGCATTTTCATTTTTTCTTTTTCCTTTTATAACTGTAAACAACGAGTGTAAACAATGAATCATTTACCATTTTCTTTCCTCAAAATGATTCAGAATACCTCGTATAAAGATTGCCCTACTGGGGGAAAAAAATAAAATAAAATAAAAATCACGGCACTTTGATCTTCCATCACACAAACGTTGAACAGGTTCAAGGAGATCACAGTGCTTCATCACTTTCCACAAACTCTTGTTTGTTTGTTGTAACTCTCTGGCAGTCAAAACATAAACAAGTTTTCTTTTTTTCCCCCAACTTCTGGGGGAGAAAAAAAAATTACAAATAAAACAAAATCAATGCTTTTTGACTATGCTTTAAGTCCCAGAGAGATGATTCAAGATGCTCGGTGAGCATCTGATAAAACACTTGGCTTCTGCAAAACTCACCCCAAAAACTCCAAAGGTTACCCAGTGCTAAAGCCTCACCCTGTCCCCACCCCCCAAACTGCTTAGAGCAACAAAAATAAATCTTAAAAAGCAAAATTTCTTTTTAATAATTCGTGATGATCTGTGAGGGGGCAGGGAAAAAAAAAAAAAAAAAAAAAAAAAAAAATCAGCTGCCTGTTCAAAGATGCTACAAGTTTGCTTAAAAGAAATCTACCCCTCACAAAAATTGTCACTTAAAAAAAATAAAAATAAAAAATGTGTAGGCTGTGGAGAGAAAAAAAAAAAAATTGTTGCTGCACGAGAGAAAAAAAAAAATTAGTTGTTTCCAATTGACTTTATATGTGGTCTTTTAAAGACTGAGCGGGTTTCATTCCTCTGTGGTTCATGAAACCAGCTCACATCCAGTTTGTATTTCATTAAAGCAAAGCCTGAAGCGGAGCCTCTACTGCAGCAGCAACGTGAAGAGCTTGGCATTAAACCACTGGGCTGCACAGCTATTATTGGCAACTAATACATTCACCGACGTTAATTTTGTCATGAGGGCTTAAAAACACATTTCCACCATGCGTTTCCTCGATTAAAAAAAACAAACAAAAAAAACAAGCAACAACAAACCCCCCCCCCCCCCCCCCCCCCCCAAAAAACAAAAAACAAAAACAAACAAACAAAACAAAACAAAAACAAACAAAACCCCGCCGAAAAAAAAAAAACAGAAGCTGTGTGGGGAAAGAAAAAGTTAAAAGTGTTGTTTTGCACCAATCGTGGACATGCTGAAGCTCATTTATCAGCTGTTTTGAAAGAGTCTTGAATGCATCATCCTTTTCAGGATAAGAGAACATATTTTCATCCAGCAGCTACAGCGACCAAAAGATTTACACTATTTACCAGTCAATATATATATTTTTCTTAGCTGTAAAAGAACAACAGCTTTAATTTAATGAAGCTGCTACTCATCTCCCATGCTGCTTGTGTGTATCTGCAGGCCAACATACTCTACGAATCAGTACAGGGGCCGTCTTCTCACATTAGCTCTGCTCATGTTTTATTCATGGTGGAAGGGAAAAACAGTCACGTAGTATTTAAATAAAGCTGCCCTTTTTTTTTTTTTTATTGCAACGTTCACATTAAAAACAAACGTTCACATTCAGGATGGTTTTGAGCCATGTTTCTGCACACCTCTCAGCGGGAGAGCAGTGTGTTGTCCTTTTTTCCTTTGCATAATGACTAAAGTTTCAATAAACTCGGGTTACTATTGATTCGTCTTTGTGCTCGTACTCTGCTGCGTGACAGTCGGCAGCAGGCTATGAATGGATGAGTGCACACGGGAGTCAAGTAAGGCACTTAAGTGACCACAGCAGTGTGAGTGGACAGAGTGATGGCTGGTGTAAGTGCACCACTTTTAAAAAAAGAAAAACAAAAAGAACAAAAGAAAACAAAAAAAACCCCAAAATAGACCAACTTTGCTGCTGGAAGTGAAAACTGTCTCCAAAGGCGACGGGTTCAAAACAGCTCATTTCTCTAATTCTAGGAATTGTTAAGCTTTCTCGCGGTCCCAGCTTGGTGCAAAGCACACTTTAAACCTCTAAATGTATAAAATAATGAGGCAGCTCTTGTTGAGGAAAAGCTAAAGAAATGCTCCAAAATAAAAACAGCCTTTGTTTCTTTTTTTTGTTTGATTTTTTTTTTTTTTTAAAGACATCCATTCCACAGGCTCGGAAAACAAGTGACGAATGTAAAAATGAAGAGTTGCCTGAAGCCTGGGTGCAAGCGCTGATGTCTGTGCAAAAGCCTGGTGTGTCTCAGCATCCTGAGGAAGAGGACAAAACATGGATTAGGAGCACATCGTCAATCAAGTTACCAACACAAGGAGCCACACTGCATCTGAAATCATTCACTACTCACTTGAGTGGGCTGTATAGTGAGTCCGGCTATCTTTTAGTCTGAGTAAGATTATACCCTACATGGCATTTGTCCTCATAGGGGTAAGAATGACTTTGATAAAGCAAGTGAAAGGCCACACATTGACAAACCCCCCC